ATATATATATATTTGTGAAAAGATATACAAATAACAAAGTGTAAAATCTAAATAAATTTCAATTTACATTTGCATAATTTACAGCAAATTTGCATTTATGATAATTATAGGTCATAATTAGGATTAAGATAAATTATAGATATCAAATATATAGAAAAATATTCATATATTAAGTTGTAGAATTGCATAAAAAATTAATCAATGATTAACAATTAAATTTTTTAAATATTCTTTAATTATAATTAATGATTGTAACTGAGATCTTAATTACGAATAATGATTATATCTCTACTTTAGCTGTCAATTCTGATGAACAATTTTAATTGTTTAACATCTTTTAATTATCAATTGCAATTAAGGATTAAATTTTTACTTTAATTGTCAGTTGGATACCTTATTAATGAATAATTGTTGAAATTGTTTTTTTAACAAAATCAATGTTTTCTACATGTCTTCTTGTTGATGGCTAAGGATCAAAATACCTTACAATAATCTATAGAAAGATGATAAAATTTCTCTCTATAAATCCACAAAACAGTGATATAATAATAATGCCTAATGCAACAAAATACATATTTATTATTACTTGTTTATTTAACAAATGTTGAAGGAATTCAAAATTCAAGTTAATTAAGCCTATAGCTACATGCATACATCTTTTTATACTTTTCGACAGTATAAACCAAGAATATGTTTTATTTTTCTATTAAATATCTTAACCCGAAAATTATAATCAATCTTTTATTACAATTTCAAAACATGCCTTCAATAAGTAAAATTATAATCAAATCCAATGTAATAACTAACAATTGATAACTGACAATTAACGCTATTAATCAGTTGATCAAATTAAATACTTTAATCGATTAATGTCTAATTCTGCAGCTTTGCAACATTTAAGTACATTCATAATTAATTGAATTTATGTATTATTTTAATATAATATAACGTAAATCAACAATATTTGAAAAAACTTGTTGGTATATATTGCTTTCAGCACAAGAATAAAATCTACATTATCTATTTAAATTATTAAAACAATGACAAATTTTTTGCATAAATATATGGTAATATTAATAAATAGTAAACTATGAAATATACTTTTTGACAAAGGATGTTATAAATAAAATGTGTATTCCATGCTATTCGCAATTATGCATGACTTCGAACAAAGTGCATCGACATTTATCACAATTAATGAATATTATAATCTTGAAACAATATATGAATATTTCAGTGATAAAATATACAATCTTTTACAAAAACTAATAATATTTCTAGTATGAAAATCAATAACTTTCTTCTTTGTTCAAATTAATGGCCACACTTTGCGAGAATTTTAGAACCATCATTTATCTAGAAAAACATGTTTATATTAACAAGACGTTACTTACCTTATTAAAAAACGTGATTTTTCTTTTGTAAGATTTTAGCAGCTGAAACTTCTATGATAAAATTTAAGTATTTAGCACGGAATTCCTCACACATGCCGTGGACGCGCGATTCACGTAAAATGTCGTCTTCCCTAAAGGCTGTGGCGTCACTCTTCTTCCAAATTCTAACGACCGTTCGGAATGAAGGAACCGAACCGGAAGTTAGCACCAACTTGACTTATGTTTTAGTAACGTTGTACATTTATTGCATCTAACTAGTATACATTAAATTGATCATTTAAAAAAAATATATATTTTGTTATTCTAATATGTTTAAGAAGTTAATTTTTTGTTCATAATATATGATATATTTTTAAGGAATTATCATTTAAAAAATTGAACTACTTGATACTAAAATACCTATGTACCTCACAAATTCAACAGATTTTAAGTATAATAAAATATAATAAAATATATGCAATTAAAATAATACTTTTGTACAAAGCATAGATGAATATTTTTAACTATTTATTATTATATGAAATCTTTAAGTATTAGGTAATGAAATATGTTTTTTGTAAATCACATTTTCCTAGTATTTACATAT